GACCGCATCATGGATGACCGCGCTCTTGTCGACACTTCGATGACCACCGAGGTGGTATTATTCCGTCTTTGAATACCCCAGGCAGGCTGACGGCCTCACCACGCGAGACTTTGTGCCAACAGGGTTTGTGTTCTTGAGGCCCAAATTTCTTGGTTCGCACGCCCACGTACGGTTTTCCCCGGACAGCGTACGTCGCATATTTAATGCTTTCATGTGCAGCCATATGGATAGATCTACCGCATACAAAATCCTCTGGTACAATCGCGATGACACGTTGGCATAGAGACACTTGTGGCCTGCCGAGCGCGCAGGACCTGCACGGGTGCCACACACTGAGGTTTTTGACCACAGCCCTCTCGTGTTCTTCGTTTGTCCCGGTGCTGCCCCTCAACATCATGTCAGCTGTGCGAGCTCACGTGCGCCGGGTCTTCCTACTTCAGCACTCAGTACGGACGAGAGGTGAAGTTGACAGACACCTCGGTGTACTCTCGTGGGGCGGCAGAAGGCCGCAGAGGAAGTACAATTTCATAGGAGGAGTGCCCAGGCGAGTGATTACGTGACGAGCGTTCACGCCGATTCTGCGCACGCGTTCATATCGTACATGTTGGGTCTCGGCCACCCAAAAGTTCAGTCGTAACGCCGAATACGCCGTCTCCTTTTGCCCGCTCGCCGGCCGTATGCCGACATCATCACCACCACCACCACCACCGCCGTCACCAAAAGTGTTGGTGTGGGCCGGCTGGCACCGACTACGAAAAGCATGGGGAGTCGACTGAGTGCACCTATGAATGCCCCGGGAACCCAGACGAGACATGCGGAGGCTTCTACGCCGCCAGTGCCTACGCCTACTCGACGGTGGAGCCAACGCCCACGTTTTCCTATGTGGGATGCTTCCAAGACGACCAGGACCGTATCATGGAGCTCGCGCTGACGGAGAGTTCTTCCATGACCACGGAGGTACGTAGGTGTAGGAGTAGGAAGAGGTTCTTCAGTCCATACCACGTCGTCGTGGCACGCTCAGTCTTTTCAGTCATGGTGCCGAATGGCCTGTAGGACTCTCGCTCTCGTGTGAGTAGAACTCTCACTCATGTTTCTGGCACCAATACAGCATGGTTGTCGATGCCCTGCGTCCGGGCTGAGGCATGTGGTTATCATTTGGAGCTGCAATGGTCGCCACATTCACTCGGTTGTCCGATTTTTCAGCAGGGTTGTTTGGCTGTAACACAGCACCTGTGATGCACGTGTTGTTTGCAGTATGTACGGGTGGCAGAATAGAGGGGACTTTGCGTTGTCGCGGTTGGCATTGGTGAAGCTTTGCTCGCCGTCTTCCTTGCTGCAATCGAACTGGTGTACATATAGTACCGTTGCTCAATTTCAACCCGCTTTTCCCGGTGCTGCCCCTCAACATCATGTCAGCTGTGCGAGCTCACGTGCGCCGGGTCTTACTACTTCAGCACTCAGTACGGACGAGAGGTGAGGTTGGCAGGCGCTTCGATGTACTCTCGTGGGGTGGCAGAAGGCCGAAGAGGAAGTACAATTTCATAGGAGTGCCCAGTCGCCTTTCAAACATAGTCTTCTAAGCAACTTACGTGACGAGCGTTCACGCCGATTCTATGCACGAGTTCATATCGTACATGTTGGGTCTCGGCCACCCCATAATTCAGTCGTAACGCCGAATACGCCGTCTCCTTTTGCCCGCTCGCCGGCCGTATGCCGACATCATCACCACCAACACCACCACCACCGTCACCAAAAGTGTTGGTGTGGGCCGGCTGGCACCGACTACGAAAAGCATGGGGAGTCGACTGAGTGCACCTATGAATGCCCCGGGAACCCAGACGAGACATGCGGAGGCTTCTACGCCGCCAGTGTCTACGCCTACTCGACGGTGGAGCCAACGCCCACGTTTTCCTATGTGGGATGCTTCCAGGACGACCAGGACCGTATCATGGAGCTCGCGCTGACGGACAGCTTTTCCATGACCATGGAGGTACGTAGGTGTAGGAGTAGGAAGAGGTTCTTCAGTCCATACCACGTCGTCGTAGCACGCTCAGTCTTTTCAGTCATGGTGCCGAATGGCCTGTAGAACTCACACCCGTGTTTGAGTAGAACTCTCACTCAAGTTTCTGGCACCAATACAGCGTGGTTGTCGATGCCCTGCGTCCGGGCTGAGGCATGTGGTTATCATTTGGAGCTGCAATGGTCGCCACATTCACTCGGTTGTCCGATTTTTTAGCTGGGTTGTTTGGCTGTAACACAGCACCTGTGATGCACGTGTTGTTTGCAGTATGTACGGGTGGCAGAATAGAAGGGGCTTTGCGTTGTCGGGGCTGGCATTGGTGAAGCTTTGCTCGCCGTCTTCCTTGCTGCAATCGAACTGGTGTACGTAAGTACCTTGACACAATATTCGACCCGTCCGAAGAGGGGGGGTGGTCTTGAAAGGTGCGTCTATTTTCAGTTACTCTGGCGCCAGCTCCGCATAGACGGGTAGACACCTCAGCAACAGCTTGGGCAATCGTTCCAGGAGACCCGTCCTTCTCATCGATCGATAAGGAGAGCATGCCAAGATCATGACTGGGACGCCAGCAGTCGGTCGAAGCATGGTAAATCGATTGATGAAACGAGACCTGGGAGCCACATGCACAGGGAGCCACATGTACATAGAGTAAACGTGTGGCTGAACACCGTGGAGATTGAAGGATTGCTTCCTTGAGGGCCTGACGCACCTCTTCCTTGTTATCCTTCCTCTTGTGGGCGTTGTGCTGCGGCCCTGCTCTTTCACCCTGCAGATATGCGAGGCCGAGTGCACCGGAAGCGCGTACGTCGGTCTGCAGTACGGGCGAGAGGTCAGACACCGGCAGAGTCAAAACGTTACCATTGTCCCACCCCGCTTGACTTTCCCTCGTTCACTTGATCAATGTCGAACTGTTCGTGTGAGTGCGTATGTAGTCGGATCTGTAGACGAGATGACAGTTTCAGGTGCACTGCACATAGGTATGCGTTGGGTAGTACGACCAGAGAATGATTGTGCGGAGCCCCCACGCCAGCTGCTGTCAGCTGGCGTGCGCGTGGCACTCCCTGCTCTTTCCCCCCAACCGGGTGTGAGAGATAACAAGCATCTAAACATCAAGCACTACAATCTCTACAAAGACAACAAGGGCATACCACTTAGGGTTGACGAATACTCTAGAGTTTCCTTCGAAGGAGCCCCTTTGCGGAGATTATGCCTGGCGACACTCCAGCGAGCGAA